ATCAGGAAGGTCATCTGGTGTAAAATAAAAGCCAAAAATGTTTAGCTAATATCAGAAGTTTCCAACTATAACTGGGTATACAGTAGCCTGGTTCAAACCAGACCCTGTCCTTCACTTTGCTTCATACTAGGGTCTGGACTTGATGCATAGACAATCGTTTCTTGCAGGAGGTGTGTCCTCTGCTGAAGCATGTGTGTGTTGTCACTGTGATGGAGGCTAAGAAGCTAACCGGAAATCGCGTGTGCTGTAAACAACCCTACTGAGAGGAAAAATACACCGAGCCAAACGAGACGACTGTAAATGAGAGCTGCTGCTTTGTCAGACAAATTTAATTTAATTTGGAAGCCTTATCAACACAGACTGGCTTCATTCACTTCCTCCACTGCCGTTTGCTAAAATAACTAGCAGACACTGCGCAGAACATCGACATCATTCAAAACTATGCCTTATGTTTATTGATTGGCCCCGGTAAAATAAACTACAAGAGACACTGCGCAGAAAATCTACGTTCTGTTCTCTGATTGGCCTGGCTAAAAATCTGCCAGCAAAATCCTTGTTAATGGGAGAAGTCCCAGACGGAGCAGTGAAGAGAAACTAGAATTGAGCGGAGCTGCGTAGGAAGGCAAGGGCCAGGCTAGGTATACAGTAGCCTGGCCATTGCAATCCTAGTTCCTCTTTATTCTAATCTCCCATCTCTATGGAATTTCTCCCACTGACTTGGATTTCTCCGATAGAATTTCAACCGGGTCAAACGTCAAACAGAAGGAGGAGTTGTGAACAACAACGCCGATATTCTGTGCTGTTATATTCTGCACTGTTATATTCTGCCAGTAGTTTAACAATGGCATCAGAGAACGTGAATGAAGCCAGACCGTGTTGAAAAGACTTCCAAATTAAATTAAATTTGTCTCACAAAACCCGCAGCACTCATTTACAGCCTTCTGGTTTGGTTCCATACTTCTCTCTTCGCAGTAGGGGATGGTTGTTTACAGCTCACACATTTTCCACTTATGCTGTGTTCACATTGAACGCGATTTCAGCATCAAAAATGCGTCCATTGCTTCAAGCTGGATGTTTGTGAAATTTTCTACTCAGACACAAGTCAAAATTGGTCTTGACGCGCATTTGAGAGCATTTTTCCCCTCCTCTGCCAGTCTTTCCTCCTCTGCCAGTCTCTGTTTAATGGTGGACGAAATAAAGAAATTGGCTTTGCTTTATTTACTGAGCGCAAGAGCACATTGTGATCACCAGGGGCCTCATGCATAAAGGAGTGTGCAGCTTTCACACTCAAAGTTGATGTATGGACAAATTTAGAAAAGCACGCCACACACAAAAAAATCAGATGTATAAAACTGTGCTCACGCATGTTTCTGTGCACCTTTCTTTTATACATCTCAACGAACGTGGAACTGAATGCACCTGAGACACCTCCCCTGACACGCCTCCATTTAAATATGTAAAATAGATGTAAATGTGTCCTGCGTGTGAGATTCTCAACAGATTGTCCTCCCTGTGGGATCATAAATTATTTTTAGATGCAGGAAAAAATATAAATTAAATGGAGAATGAATAAGCAAACTGTCTAAATAAGTAGTGGGGTGTAAAAATGAGTTTGCTACACGCAATTGTGTGTGGGTGTTAGCAATTGGGTAAAATCATATCCAATCATTTTAAACTTCAACAGAGTCCACGCCTCCAGAAAGCATTCATTTTTCAATAGCCAAAAATCCAGACACTCTGCATAAATTAAGTGACTGCTACATGGGCACCAGTGCCCCGAAACTCTGAAAGGAAGTAGCGGGTATAGCTAATGGATGGATGAATGAAATTAACATAACTGATTAATTCATTGTAAATATATTACAAATAATGTGTGACACAGATCCAGCTGGGCTTGCTGGTTATCTAATAGTTGCTATGAGGGCTGTGAGCCGACATTCTGTTCATTGTCACAATGCTAACAATGGACGGGATAGGCTGGGCTCAGTCCAGTGGTCTAAGTTCCTGATACAAGACTTACATTCACTAAAAGGTTGTCAGTGAAACTGTCCTGCTTTAAAGCCTCATCTTATTAACTAAATCAAAACAAAGTAATGCAAACAAGTTACTTGTTAGATTTATATGTTTATTCTGATTCAGGTTCAAACTGGACTGGGCCAGAAGGGAGACATTTTGGCTTTGCAGAAGTCTTGGACGGCATATGTCAAAACCACAGTGATTTATAGAGAAAACAAGCACAAAGAAAACTAAAAAATGCTTAAAATACATATTAAAAAAGATCCTCTGATCTAAATAGTTTGATGAATACTCCAAAGAATCTTTTCATTTTAAAAATGGTAAATGGTCTGTACAGCTTTCTATCCAACCAGGATACTCAAAGCTCTTCATGCTACAATCTGTGTCCTCATTTACCCATTCACACAGCCCTCTATTCTCTACAGAGTTAACATGTATAAATCATCTGTAGAGACTAATCAGTGCTTTAAATAACATTCATACACTGATGGGACACACATCAGAAGCATTAGGGGTGAAGTGTCTTGCCCAAGGACACAGCTGAGACAGCTGGAATGGGGGATTGAACCAGCAACCTATCGGATCCAGGATGACTCCCCTCACCAATTAACAGCTAAACAGAAAATAATTATTTCCTAAAACGTGTTTATGTTACACGTTTTGAATTTTACTAAACAGATTTAATCACAATTTCTTAATTCTGAGCAGTGAATAGTTTTCATTATCGGAGCGCTGCTCTGGTGGTGAAAACATCACCCTCTGCCATTTTTCCTGCTTGTTAAATGGTGTGGTGTTGTGAAAGGAAGACCAAGGTAAGGACAGTGTGCCAGGAAAAAGGGGCGTGACTGCATCTGTAAATAGTGGGGCTATTTTTGGGCATACCATGATCGTGTTGAGGTGTACTGCCTAGGCCTGCCTTCTGTCACTATGGGAGCTTCATAACTTGCTGAATGGAAAACGTGGGCAGGACTGGCAGGTGGTACACAGGAGTGTGGCACCGCTCCCATGGCGAGGAGCTGGCTTACTCACAAACACTCACCCCATAAACAGAAACATGCAGGTTCCTGTTTGCACCTGGCACAAAAAATATGTTGCATTTAGTCATGCCGAAGCAAAAATGTAGACAGAAAAAGAAATCTTGTAAGATGTAGTGTTCCTGTTTTCTGGTGTATTTTTGGATTTAATTGTTTTAGTTTAAAAACTTTTAATTAAAATACTGCCAATTTTATTGAAGCAAAGAATAACTAGAACTGTTTTCTACAAATTTTGATGTGATTATCTGAAGACGACAATTAACTATTCTGTCTTCCCAACATAACCCATGACCCATAATCTTGTTAAGATAAAATCTTGTTTGTTTGTTTGTTTGTTTGCTTTTTATATGGTGGTGATTCAACATAAAAGTGTCACATCATTGGTCTAAGCTAGGGATGTAACGGCACATGTATTTGTACCAATGAAACAAGCAGATAAATCAAAGTATACAATACTTACAGGTGATCAACACCTTTTCTAAAAAAATGTACTTTTTGCTGTTTTTTGCTAACTGCTGCAACAGACAATTATTACAGAAATATAATATCTAAAACACTCTACACCAAACTACTTCAGTTGACTACAGGAGCTTGAAGGCCTGACTATTATCTTTTTATTTTACATTTATTTCTTTTTAGTAATCAGTAGTGATTTGTGGCAGCAGTGGAAAGGACATGAATATGGAAAGCCCAAAAGGTCAAAATTCACATACATAAAGCCAAATAACTTGCTTGTTTTAAAACTCTCTCTGCCATCTTCAAATATGTTCCCAGGTATTTATTGACCACCATCCACATAAAACATTTAAGTAAGCTGTTAGTGCTTAATATCTTATTGTGGGTTTTTATACTAGGTGTTCAAGTTTAGGCTTACTTAAATAAATAAAATAAAATTAATAATAAAATAAAACAAAAATTTAAAAAAACAGCTCTGATTTGTTCTATGATTGGAACAAAAGAGTATTACTTTTCAGATTTCAAAACAATGTTTCTTTAAATCGATTTATTTGGGTTTAGTTTGTTTTTAAAGGGGCAATATTATGTGTTTCTCAGGCATATATTTAAATACTATACAATAATA